CACACTGGGGCCACTTTTATCACCTGGACATCTTTGTGTCAGCTTCCTTCATATGGTGTCCTGACTCACCCAGGCCACTTGTGTGCTGAGAACCTCAGACGGGCCACAGGACCGTGGCGGCCCACCTGAGCAAGCTGTGTTTACATTTGATTCCACATGCATACCTGGCCCAAAGGGCAGCAGGAAACGGGCTTAGAGGCAGGTGGTCTGGACTCACGGCCTGCCATATCCCTTGGGCAACCCGACTCCCTGGTCTCAGTTTGCTCATCTAGAAATGGAAGTAATAGGTTCCCACCGTCAGGCGAATCTGTGAAGCATTCCCCTCGCCTGCGGAGGCCTTTTCTGAACTTCAGACTCACACCCAATGGGCATCTCTGCCTGACACACCCACTGCGGAGCTCCAGATTTCACCCATCTGCCCCCCAAGTCTCCCCACCTACTCTCCAATCAAGAGGCAATGTAGCCTGCTGGTGAGAATGCAGAGGCTGGGGTTGGATCCCCAGGGGTGACCCCACTGGCTTGCAGTGTGTGTAGTGCTGAGTAGATTTACGAATTCTCCAGGCCTCAGTTTCCCTCCCTGGACACTGAGTGGCAGTGATGATGATGATGATATTCGCGCGGGGCTGAGGTGAGGATTCAATGACGTAATGTGTGAAGTATTGAGAACAAGGGGTCATTCTAACCTTCTGTGGAAACCCCCCCATCCCAACCCCTCAAGCTAAAAGCACAAGCGTCATGCTGGCTCCACTATACGCATGTGAGGTGTGTGTTAAAAAAGAGCAGAGGTCATGGGGAGGGTAGCTCAGAAGTACGCCCCCCATCTGGGGACACACACACACACACACACACACACACACACACACAGGAAGTCCTATCTAGACTCAGTCTCTGAAACACATTGCCAGGTTCCCAGCTTCTCCCCATCTGCGTGAACACGCCTGGTCCAAGCCAGCACCCTGGCTCCTGGGAGGACCCAGCAGCCTCCCAGGGCCCTTCCCCATGGCAACCAGAGTGATCATTTACTTAAGAAGCTGAAGTCACAACTCCACCCTTCCCTTCCCTCCCTTCCTTTCCCTTTTTCTTTCAACTGGTCATCATGGAAATTTCCACATGGGCAACCCCAGAGAGGATGGGAAACGGCCCCTCCCCAGGTCCCCACCCCTTCTTGATGGGCCGAAGCCCCAGGCTTTCTGGCCCTGTCTCCTCACCACTCTCTTCTGCGCTGAAGGCTTTTAAAAGCAAATTGCAGCATCGCTTCATCTGTGAACACTTCTATGCAACAAAATCATTGTTAAAACTCTAAAGCCACCGACTTGATTTCTCTGTTAAAAACCTCCCTGGAGCCCCCCACTCCTCACCCTGTCCATGTCACCTAGCCTGGGCTCACTGTCCCCTCCACCTGGCCCTCTCCTCCCCACCCTCACCAGCCTCGTGTCCATCCTGGTGCTGTGTTTGTGGGGCTCTACCTGAAGCCCCCACTTCCCTGGCTTTTCCCGGACACCCCCCACCCCATGCACATTTTTAGTTCCAGTGTTTGGATTTCTTTCCTCATCTCAGCGGGAGGCCACCAGAGGGAGCTGAGCAGGGAGTTACAATCGGAGTTATGTTTTAAAAATATCCTCCTGGCTGTTGAGTGGAGGATGAGTTGGGGGTGGAGTGTGGGGACAAGAAGGCCGTGATCTGAGATAATTAAGGGAAACGGTACCAGAAGAGCCTGGTATATAGTAAGTGCTCACAAAATAAAAGCCATTTTTTGCAGTGCTGGGGATTATCCCCAGGCCCTTGCACTGAGCCACATCCTCAGCCTTTTTAAAATTTTTGCTTTACTGTGAGACAGGGTCTTGTTAAGTTGCCCAAGCTGGGCTTGAATTTGTAATCCTCCTGCCTCAGCCTCCCAGAGTGCTGGGATCATAGGTGTGAGTTACCATGTCGAGCTAGTTCCCTTCTTATTTTAAAGCAAAATGTAGATATAAGAATTGTGGTTGAAGCCAGATGTCACCCCAACTACTTGGGAGGCTGAGGCAGGAGGATTGCAAATTTGAGGCCAGCCTGGACAATTTATCAAGACCTTGTTTTAAATTAAAAAAAAAAAAAAAAAAAAAAAGACCAGTGATGTAGCCCAGTGCTCCCTGGGTTCAATACCCAGGACTGGAAAAAAAAAAGAAAAAAATTATGGCTGAGCATGGACATGGTTTGTCTCAAATGACCCAGCTGGCTGGCTCTGGGGCAGAGGCCCAGGGAAATGAGCGGTCTCTGTGAACACAGGACACCTATGGGGAGACAGTCTCGGGAACAAGTGATATAATTCCACCTACAACATGCTGTCCCAGAGTGGAAGACAAGACCCTTTGGTCTTGCAGTGCCCACGCGGGTGAGGGCTCTCTGATACGGTACTGGGGTGCCAGCTGGCGCAGGCCAAGTGGAGAGCGGAGGGCTGGGCGGGGAGGAGGTTGGGAGAGTGAAGGTGGGAGGCTGTGAGAAAGTTTAACCACCAGGGGGCGCCCTTGGACCTCCTCTGCCAGGGGACATCAGGCTGCTCCTGGAAGAAATGGCCAGTTCTGTGCCTGTTCCCGTCCCACACCGGTGCCGGAGATGCAGCCTTCACTCCCCATGGCCGACACAGGTGCCTGCACCCCCACCCCCCAACATCTGTGGACAGTAGACACCTTGGCTGTGAAGCTTGTCCTGCTACTTGCCTGGTATGGCTTGGCCTTTCTGTGTCTCAGTTCTCCCACGGAGAAAGGAAGAACCTCTTTAAGGGCCAAACCCAAATCAGATTCTCACTTTCACCTTGGCCTGATATTTTCCTGTGGACTCTCACCCATCAAATAGGGACGGCATCTCCTGTGTGCCCTGGACTAGCCACTGCCACTGCTCCAGAAACAACGGCCAGGCGGGAGGCGCCTCCTCTGCGAATCCACCTCTCCTTTCTCTACCGTTCTTCCCCCACGAGGGGTGGGGTGGGGTGGGAGCTCACCACACTGAAGGCCCCTCACCTGAATTCCTGATTGGTTGCTCAGTTGCTCCTAATGAACCGAGGCCTGGCTCACTGCACTCTGCTATCCTCTGGGGCAGCAGGCAGCGCGGCCCTGAGCCTGTACAGTCCTGCGATGCAGAGGTCTTCCACCCTGCCCATGAGCCTTCATGAGGCTGCTCTTCCTCTTATGCGCTGCTTGGCCCGCACCCCTAGAGGGCACAGGGGCCTGGCCTTCCCCCAGGGAAGGGGTTTGGGTAGGGCCAGGTGGTTAGGTTTGTTTTGAGGGTGGAGGTGGATGGTGCTGGGGCTGGCTGGGCTGGGGAGCAGGGTGGGGAGACAGGCTCAGGGGCTGCAGCGGCCAGATTACAGGGTATTCGGGATGGTGGGTCGGATTCAAGGAGGACACCCAGGGCTCTAGCTCAGGTAAGTGGGGATGTCCTTAGGGACGGCGAGGACTCTTCGGGCTGAACACTCTCAGCCTTGGATGCCATGGGTCTGAGTCACCTGTGACCCTCGAGGAGTGCCATCCATGAAAGGATAGGGATGGCTGGGAGCAGGATCCCCGGCGGCTAGGAACCGTCTCCAGCATGCTGCTGTGAGCTGTCCCAGAGCGCAGGACAGCGAGGGGACAAGCCCGGGGCTGGAATCAGGCCCCGGAACCAGCCCCCTTCCAGCTGCTGCGGGAGCTGCGATTACGCCCGCACACATGGCTCAGGTGTGTGAGGAGCCTGCCCAGGAGGAGGGAGACAGGACTCGGGGGAGGGAAAGGACGGCAGGGGCTGGCCAGCCTGACAGTGAGGCAAGGACAGGCGCAAACCTGTGTGGAACGAGCTAGGAGCAGGAGCTAAGAGCCGCACGAAGGTCCTGATCTTCCCCTTGTAGATTTCTCACCCTTGGCTCTTCAGTTTTTTTCAAATGGTTGGAAGTTTGCTACCTTTGTGTTCTGTGGTCTTTGCCATGGGCCCCCAAGGTCCTTTTTGGACAACATGGAAGAAGTTAGACAGCCAGCCCTGGCCATACCAATCTCTGGGAAAATGGAGACCACAAAGCTGCCAACAGTCAACTCCCCACGCTGGGTTGGGACAGGTACCATGCTGCCATGCTTAGCAGATTGTATTTCTCCATTTCCCAGGTGAAGGCAAGTTCCAGAACATTCTATGCATCCTAGGTCAGTCAGCAGCCACATTCCTGGCATGAGGATACATCTGTCAGGTGCCGTGGCCCATGTATGCCTACTGGCTCTGGCCTCCTTGGGTAGGTAAAAGCCGAAGGCCAAGCTCAGGCTGGGAGGGGGAAAAGAGGAACTGAAGAGCGGGGACTTAAAACCAGGGTTTGGTCCTGACTCTGGCCCTCAGCATGTGCCTCAGTGTTTCCAACCGTACAATGGGGGTTGTGGTGCTGAGCTGTGCACTCAGTACGTCACCTGCATTTGTAGAAGACTGTGCCTGGCCCGGGAAAGAACATAGCAAAAGTTGCCGCTGGTTGCTGTTTGGGACAGCGGCCTGGTTCCAGGATGGTCTGCTGAGGGCTGTTTCTGTCACCAGGATGACCCGCAGCAAAGGCCTCAGCCTCTCTAGTACTAGTAGTAATTGTTATTAGCTGTGTAGAACCCACAAGATTCTGGGCTGAGTGGGTCCAGGCCAGGCGGGCTGTGCCATGGAGACTTCCATGGCCGAGTTAGATTCCAAGAGACTTGGCACCTAAGGAGGACCACAGGATGTTGGCGGGGAGCCCCCTGCTAAGCACCCAGGCAGGTCTGGACATTCAGGAAGCTCAACCAAGCGGCTTGGACAAAGCGGACCTCCAGGACCTCATGTTGTATTAAACACTGACAAAAGCAAACCAACTCCAACAGGCATCTCAAAAAAGCTCTGGGGCTCAGGTGTAACTGTAGCTGTCACTTGCTCAGGGTGCATAGGCCACCGGGTTGCATCCTCACACTGAAATACACATACGCAGGCACAACAGGTTCCTGTGGGACCAGCCGTGAGCAGGACACACTGACACAAATGTAGTGAGAGGGTCTGAGTGGAGAGCAGTCATTGATTTAATTTTGGTTAAGATCTGACACACCGCGGGCCAAGGGGTCCAGGGCTTCTGCCCACTCCAACCCACCCCACGGCAGAGTCACCACCTGCTCCTGGCTCATGATCCTTTACAAAAATAAATATGAAAAAGCAGCAACTCTTTCGTGATCTTGGAATTAATCTGACAGCAGTTAAATGTGTCTAAGCATCTGGCGTATCTCCAAAATTGCACCAAAAAGATCTGGAAGCACTTAATTTGGTCTCAGAGGCAAAATGGAAGGTGGAGGAACAGGGTGGCCTTGCCCCGAGCTGTGGTGGTCCCAGGCTGGCTCCAGCCCTCGGTCACATCTCCGAGTCTGCGTACATGCCATTGATTAGATAGTCCACCTGCGTGTAATCCTTCTTCTTGTAGCTCTCATAGGCTTGCAGGGCAAACAAAACCAAGACAGTGACAAAAAGGGTCACCCCAAGTATAAGCACCGCCAGGAGGAACGTCTTGTTCACCGAGGATGGGGTCAAGGGTTCAGTGGTGACCACCAGGTACTGGCCTTCAGTGCTGGACTGGCACAAAGCTGTAGTTGGCATTTTGGGCCCTGAGCTCCTAGGTGTCACCCCGGCAGAGGCAGTTCCAGGTGTGGCTTTGGTCTCCGCCTGCTCTGATGTCCGGCGGGTGGCTGGCCCTCCAGCCCCATGGGTAGATGACACAGGGCTGGGTAGTGTTGTGGGGGATGTGGCTTCCACCTCAGGCGTCAGACTGGTGGGCGGCACTGGCACTGTGCTGGTAGGTGGCTTCTTAGCCTGAGCCTGGGTAGTGGCCACTGCTGTGGATACAGGAGCCACGGAAGGGGTAGTGGCGGCCTCTGGGGTGATGTCGGAGGGGGAAGACGTAGCTCTATCTGCTGTGCTAAGCGCTGGCTGGGCTGGTGACACCTGGCTGGTGGGACCTTGTGCTTTGGGACCCACAGTGGGTGCGGGGCTCACTGTGGAGCTAGTGGGTGTGTGCTGTGGGGAGCTGGGAGTGCTGGAGGAGCTGCTTGTGCTGGCAGCAGCCGCAGCAGCAGTCTGGTTACTCGTGGTCAATGCTGTTGCCTTTGCCGCTGTTCTTGGAGACGTGCTGGTACTTGGCACTTGTGCACGGGATGTGTTGAGAGATGGAAGCCCGGGGACGGTTGTAGTTGGGGTCTGCCACACAGAAGTGGGGACGGGTGATGTGGGGGCGGGTGATGTGGGGGCGGGTG